CGATAACAATGTTTTCTATAAAAAAAGTAACAGATAAACATATGTAGTTCAATATGGACAATTTGTCGATAACACCTTTTCCTTAAGGAAAAAGGTCGATAATTACATTTTTTTTTAGAAAAGTAGCTATTGATAATTTTTTTTTGTAGTAGACAACATCGATAATTGTTTCTATAGAAAAAATATTTTTTCCCGATAACATAAAGGATTTTTCCCTTATGTTATCGTATAAAAAATACATTTGGTTTGTTCCCGTTCAGCAAGAATCTCCGAGTTTTTACTACGATAACAATTTTTCCTTTTTGTCGTTATCGAAAATTCTGTAGAATGTTATAGATGGAACACAATCGATTTGATTTGTTGAAATTTAAAATTTTTAAACGACATTTACATTAGAACTTTTTACCGGGTTAACCTACTTCACGACGATTTATTTGACAAATATGCAATGGAATTGACAATTTAAAAAACCTACTGGGTTAACGAAATGTATCGGGACAATGTAAACGTACTTTTAGATTCTTCTTACCTTTTTTTGGACAAGATATAACTTAAAAATGGGTAAATTTTTAATGAGAAATGATTTTTAAAATGAAATAGCCTTGAGTTTTTATTTTTTTTTTTTTGGATTTTTACTTGTGTTTGTTTTTATTCAAAAATTCAATTTTTTCGTGGAAACATAAAAAACGAAGGCAAGATAAAGTTTTTTTCTTTCGAGAAAATAGTAACAAAAATATATCTTTGACTTTGGAAAATGGTGGAATTAAAAAAAAAATGTTGTTTGTTCACCAGATTCGAGGTTATGTATCCCCAAAGTCCAGACAGACAGACAAAAACATAAACAATTATAAACAAAAGATTACAAAGGAATATACAATGGCAGCACTAAATATTACAAAACAAATACATACATACAAATTAATATATATTTAAATTGTTAGGTGGTTGGTTCCATATAGCTACTAAACAGCAACATTTTGTGTTCTTAATTAGGTAGTAGTAGGTTTACAACAACAAACTTAATATTAAAAGAAACTAATATGTAAACAATATATTATTAAAACATTATTATAATTTGTAAACATAAATTTATTACTGGCTAAATAAAGAAATTTATAAAAAAAACACTTTTTTTTGTGACAAAAGACAAAATCGATAAATTCAGTTGTAGAACAATTGAAGAGGATTTTTTTTTTGGTTTTAATTGGTATTTTCAAATTAGTTGGGACAAATCAAAGTCATACCCGACCAACATCTGTCTACTCCCAGCCCATTGTGCCTAAACATTAAGGCTGCTGCAACATCAACCAAAAAAATCCTCTTAAATTCTACATACATACAAAAAAATATCTATATAGCTTTAGTGTGTGCCTTTAAGAGATTGTTGTTTTTTTTAATTAACACAAAAAACAAACAATTATTATTTAAAAATACAAAATCATATAAATTTTACTTTGGATAAAAACTTTGGTTTTTGGTGTTCATGTGTTGTGTGTGTGTACTCAAAAAAATTTTGTATACAGTGTATGTTTTCATCTTTTTTATACCATACTATTTCAATCAATATTTTTTGTTTTTCATTTTCATTTTTTTTTTTCAAAATTTCTTATAAAATACTATATACAAATGTGATTTAAAAGCAATAATTAGCAGCATGGCGCCTTACTTAATTTTGTTTTTGTTGTACATTTTAAATTTTTTTATTTGATCTCTAATTGCAAACAAGTGTTAATAAATGTTAATTTTGCAAATCAATGAGAGTGTTGAAAAATAGAAACAAATAAAAAAGGACCATAAAAATATACACCCATCAAGTGTTTGTGCTTGATTTTTGTGGTTCAATGGGGGAAGTTTTTTTTTTGTTTTTGTGGCGAGAGGAGTGAATGTTTTTCTAGAGGTGTTGTGTTAATTTGTGATTTTTTTAAATGGTTTTCATTTTTGTTTTCTTGTTAATTCATTGCAATTCATTTCCTTATTTAATTTTGCTACAGCCCATTAGTTGAAATAATAATAATAAGAGAGAACAAATAAACAGCCATATCATCATCACAAGTCTGATCATGAATCATTGCACACTTTTATTAATTCTTTGTCTTTACATGCCAGTGATGTTTTTTTTTTGTCTTTAATGTTGTTTATTACACAGTGCTACAAAAAAAAATGAGGAATCAATTTTTTTCTAGTGGAAATTTATTTAAAGAATAATCCACATTTATGGGCAAAACCCCTTTTAAATAATTAAAGACCCCTGGATTCACTTAAATACCTTAGAAAAAATCAACCAAAAAATTTTTAAGTGCCAATAATCAAAATAGTATTAAAATAGCCTTAACTGTAAAAAAGGACTATTGGGGCTATAGACTTGGAATTTTCAAAATAATTTTTTAACCATATTATTATTTTTTTTGCAGGAACCATTTAAGCTAAACATGAATTTGTCAAATACATGTTTGTGAGGAAAAATCGGGGCTAATTAGGTATTAGGTTTTAATTAATAACTTTTGAAGCCACAAGTGCGGATTTTTCAATTTCATTTTTGAGGCACTATTTAACACGCCTGTAGTTGATTTTCAAATTAATTTCTTGATGGATATAATCCCCAGTATATGGTTTTATAGTATACTAGCATATGCCCGCAACTTCGTTAGCGAATATAGGAAATATTTAAACAAATTTCATGATTCGAGCTCTAAAGGTTAATCCAAAAGCAAATTTTCCATTTAGTAAACATTATTTCCATAAGAATCCTCTTCAATCATCCAACAAAACTTGATGCATACCCCGATCCTACAACCCCACAATGATTCCAAATTAAAATTTCAGGATTTCAACTCCATAGGTTTACCCACAATTCAAATTGTACCAAATTTTGTACAAAGTAGTACCATTTCCAAAACAGTAGTACTTCCACAGTGATCCTGAATCCAAGTTTCAGGATTCCAACTCTATAGCTTCACCCACAATTCAAATTGTACCAAATTTAGTACACATTAGTACAAATTTCTAAAATATCCTACATACCCCAACCCTACACCTCAACAGTGATCCTGACTCCAAATTTCATGATTCTAGCTCTATTGGTTCACCTAAAATTCGGATTGTACCAAATTTAGTAACATTTAGTACCCATAAGTATTAATTTGTTAAACTGATTCCTGACCCTAATCCTACATCCCTACAATGATCCTAACTCCAAACTTCATTGTTCCAGCTCTATCGGTTCAACCAAATCCAAATTGTACCAATTAAAGTACGATTTAGTACTTTTCGTACACATAAGTAAAAAATTTCCAAAACTACGTACATATATGCCAATCCTACACTCTGATGGTAATGTTACTTTCAATTTTCAGGATTCCAGCTCGATTTGTATCTCCAAATCAAATGTGTACCAAATATAGTACCATTTTCGTACACATGAGTACACGCTTTCCAAACTCTCCTCATATCGACCATACTTTTCAACCTTAATTTGCAAATTTAAAGTTTTTAGCTCAATTCATGCTACGAAATTGTACCAAATTTGGTACATTTCAGTACTTTTCGGATACTTATAGTTCGAATTTCCATAAATCCCTTTGCTACATCTATTCTCCATCATGACCCTTAATCCAAATTTCAGAGTTCTAGCACTACTGATTCGCCAAATACAAATGATACCAAATTTAGTATTTTTCGTACCGTTCTAGTACGAATTTCCAAAAACCCATCCTTATTTGACACCTTTGGACCAAGAATGACTCTCACCTAAAATTTCTCACCTTCAGCCTTCAGGTTGGAAAATTGGACTAGGATCTTCATAATACCCAAAATGACACGTAACCTTTGAAAAACATGACTGAAAACCGCAAAAAGCGTAAACTGGAAGGGAGATTATATCAAGATGTGGATCCATTTTAATATTTCTTGGAAGAGTACAAAATAATTTAAAAAGTTCGGGAACGCAAATCTAGTAAATATGCCAAAATTAAATGGCAAAATACTTCAAAATCAACAGTCAATCAGAAGTAAGCATTCCTGTTTACAAAAAAAAAAAACTAAAAATTTAAAAACGCCACATTAAAAAAATTCCCACTTGTTGTCCAACATTATTTGGAAAGAAATAATTTCGTTTGACAAAAACAATCCTTAAAAAAATCTCAAAAATATTCCTGAATATTCACGAAAAAAATAGATACAAAAAATTAATGAATACATTCCGATATGACTCTGATATTCCTTAAATGATAATATTACAATAAAAAACCACATAATTGTCAACATAGATGGAAACAATGAAAAAGTAATCGCCAATTTTTTTGTAGCTCTGTGTAAATACTAAAATGTCTTGTTTTTTGATTTTGCAAAGTTTTCAGAATGTAAGTGTGCAATGATTTTTGTTTTTGTAATTAGTTTAGTTAGGTTCGATTTTTGTTTTGTTAATATTTCTATGAACAAAATAAATTATAAAAAAAAGAAACAAATAATTAATGATAATAAAAAATGGTAGTATTTTTGCTGTTGTTCTAACGACTATAAGGAAAATCAATTGTTAGTAGAACTATTTTTATGATAAGTTTACAAAAATAAATTAATTAAAAATCAAAAATAACTAATAATAATGTTTTCGTTATAATTTTTGTGATATTGTTTATTTGTAGTTGTTGTTGTAGTTTAATGCCCTGCAACAGATGCGTTATTTGTTTTACTATTTTTTGTTTTGTTAAAATATTTGTGTTATTATTTTACTATTGTATTTAATTTGTATAGTTTTCAATTTTTTCTATAGACTCTTTAATTGGCAGGAATTTATAGAACAATTAAAATATTTGTATTATTTACCAAAAAATTTTTTGAAACAATAAAAAATAGTATTATAAACATTTTTGCAAAATATAACTTGTAATTTTTCATTCTTTCTTTTTCTTTTTTGTTTTAAATGTATATTTTAATTTTAGTTCTAGGTTTTATTTTTATATTTCTTTTTTTATTTTCTTTAATAAAAAGCCTTTTCATATGGGATTTTGTTTTTGTTTTGTTGTTTTAAGCTTACAATTCAACATGATAATTTCTTATTATTAGGTAACAATACTAGAGCTGCGCCAATGAATCTGAACGCATTAAAGGAGTTGTTGGTTTGTGACCGCCTTCCACTTCATATTGCAAATCTACAGAAGCCCCTTTTCCAAAACGGATATTAGAAAATTAATTATTTTGAAATATAGGGAAAGTAACAAAAACAAACTCAAAAGAAAAAAAACAAATGTGGTTTTCAAAACTTACGCTTCTTTTCGCTTGGCGTCCGATGTAAATTCGCCTCACCATGCACCTCGGGTATAAACACAGCAACCAATATGGCCAATATCACCATAAAGCCACCAAAGATGAATGGTGGCCCGGGATATGTAAACCAGCTGTCATCGGCTATCTCTTCACTACTACTGGCCACCGATTGTTCATTATTCAAATCGACATTGAATAAGTAGAAAACCACACCGAACATGGCTGGGCCCAGGCCATTGCAGAGGCCTCGCATGCCCGTGACCATGCCCTGTACAGCACCTGAAATTAAAAAAAAAATAAATAAATGAAAATAGTTGAAAAATATAAGAAAATACCGGGAGTGGATATTTTTATTTATTTTCCAGGGAGGTGCGAGGTGCGAAATTAAAAAAAAAAAACGCGATTATCTACCTAAAAGTGACTAAAACGTGATTATCTACCACCTAATATTCGTATTTTGTGGAATAACGCAATTAGATGTATTTTTTTACTTTGCCTTCTCTGTGGGTGCCAAATCTCCCTATCAAAAAAGATCAATATTGGTCCATGTTTCTACATACGTCCCATACACAGATCACGCTTATTTTTCGGTATGTTCAAGGTCCCAGGGCAATTTTTTTTTATCCTGAGTGCCAGTTGTTCGGTATTTCGTTTACTCCTGGCAGCAATTTACTATGGCATAGTAAATGTCTACTACCATGGTAAAGAGTATAGAAATTTCGACACGAACGAACTTGTTTTGTTATGTTTTTACGTATTTAAATTTATTTTTTTTATGGTCTCTTGTTCCTGAATTTTTCAATACATTTTAAGGGTCCATCTAACCGGAGTGGCTTTTTAAAGCAATTTTTTACGGTATATTAAACTGGGGTGGATTTTTAAACTATTTTTGAGGATCCCTCTAAAAGGCGACGATATCTTAAATGCATTTTTTGAGTATCCATCTAAAATGCGACGATTTTTTAAATGCATTTTTTGAGGATCCCTCTAAAAGACGTGGATTTTTAAATGCGTTTTTTAAGATCCCTCTAATAGGCGCCGATTTCTTTAAGGGACCTTCAAAGCTACAGGCGTGAATTTTTTAAATTTATTTTTTAAGGGACCTACTCGCTACAGGCATAGATTTTTAAATTATTTCTTTAAGAGACCTTCTAAGCTACAGGCGTGGATTTTTTAAATTGATTTTTAAGGGACCTTCTAAAATACAGGCGTGAATTTTTTAAGAGACCTTCTAAGCTACAGGCGTGGATTTTTTAAATTAATTTTTAAGGGACCTTCTAAAATACAGGCGTGAATTTTTAAGAGACCTTCTAAGCTAAAGGCGTGGATTTTTTAAATTGATTTTTAAGAGACCTTCTAAAATACAGGCGTGAATTTTTTAAGAGACCTTCTAAGCTACAGGCGTGGATTTTTTAAATTGATTTTTAAGGGACCTTCTTAAATACAGGCGTGAATTTTTTAAGAGACCTTCTATTAAATTCATTTTTGAGTGACTTTCAGAGCTGCAGCGGTGGATTTATTAATTAATTTTTAAAAGGGAATTTCGTAGGTACATGCGTGAATTTTTGAAATTAATTTTAATGAGGATAATCTGGCTACAGATTCGGATTTTTTAAATTAATTTTTTGTGCGACCATCTAGCTACCGGCGTAGATTTTTTAAATTTTTTTAATGGACCTTCTCGCTACAGGCATGGATTTTAAAATTATTTTTTAAGGGACCTTCTAAGCTACAGGTGTGAATTTTTTAAATTTAATTTTAAGGGACCTTCTAAGCCTCGGGTGTTGATTTTTGGTTGGTTGAATTTTTTAAATTTATTTTTTAATGGAACTTCGAAACGACAGGTGATGATTTTTTTTAAATATTTTTTAAATGACCTTCTAAGCTATAGGATTAAATTAATTTTTAAGTGATCACTTAAAACTTTTTAAAATCTTCTATTTAATTTCTTGAGTTTCGAGACGGTATTTTTTTTCTACTCACCTTGACTATCAGCTGTTGAATGTATTGATACAAAAGCACTAATAGCCGGATATGTTATAGAACCCAGAGCTGCCAAAATACCAGCTGCCCACATCATCCTGAAAAACAAACAGTAAAAACAAATTAGGGTCAGCAACTATTCGGAAAAGTATTCGGAATAATTTTCTGAGACATACCATTTTTTACTACCAAAGCCATACCAAAATAGCTGTGTCATTTCTAATATTAAACCCAATATTATTGTGCGTTTAGCTCCAATTTTTCTGGAAAAATATTAAATTAGAAAAAAAAATCATTATAAATTTCAATAGAATTAAATTAAAAGTAATTAAAAAAATCGATATATAATATTTTTAGCATTTATTTCTTTGGGGGTGTTGTAATGTGGAGCTTAATCTACTTGATTTTATTTTGTTTCCACATCACCATATTTCCTTCCTGTCACAGCAGGTGTTAGGCGGATTGACGTGAGAGTGTTTTCTTTGTTTTTCCTCTAAACATAATTTGCGGTTTGCATTTTTATCTAACTCTGCATCACTCAGCCGCAGAGTGTATATTGGTTATCGATTGATTCGGAAATATTCTTTTTTAGATATGTGTATATGTGGTTAGGTTATCTCCCATTTGCTCACCTCATAAAACAGCCCAACGTCACTTGAACACTGATACTGAGTATACCAACAACGGCTATAAATATCGCCACTTCCATGGTATTGAAACCCATTTTCAATTTCAAATAGACAAATATACACGAGTATTGGCCAGCCTCGGGCAGGTAGGATAATAGCACCGTAACACATTGCATTAGTACCGTGTGATCTGTGCCAACTTTACGCAAAGCCTGCAACAAGAAAAAACAATAACAAAATTATATTGAATAGAGAGGATAGGATAAAAGGTGTATGAATGTATGTAAATCACAGTAGGATAAAATTAGAATATTTATACAGGGTTGCAGGTAATATAATTACAGATAATGTATGACGTTATGTTGGTTATGAAATATTGTTGCCCATGACATTGACTTACAGCAAAGGGATCTGCCTGCTCCCAATTGATGGGAGCACCCCATGACGAAGGCCTCACTTTGTCTGGCAAACTTTCTGGTACAGCCACCAATATGAAGAACACATCTAACACTGCAATGGCTGTGGCCAAGGCCACCACTAATGTATCACTATATCTTTCCATTAGATAAGCACCAAGAGCAGGAGATATAACCTGGAAAATGAAGAGATGACAAATTAAAAAAATAAATACAAATATTTAAAAAAAATTTAAATCAATTTTTTTGAACAACCGTGGATTTTTCGAATTAATTTTTTGAGGGAACTTTAATTAATTGAGGAACTTTCACAGCTACAGGATTGGATTTTTTAAATTACTTTTTGAGGGACTTTCAAAGTTATAGGCTTTGATTTTTTTAAATTAATTTTTGAGGGACTTTCAGAGCTGCAGGGGTGGAATTTTTAAATTATTTTTTTGGGAGACTATCTAAGCTTCAGGCATGGATTTTTAAAATTAATTTTTTGAGGGACTTTCAGAGCTACATGCGTGAATTTTTTAAATTAATTTTTTGAGGGACTTTCAGAGCTACAGGCGTGGATTTTTTGAATTAATTTTTTGAGGGACTTTCAGAGCTACAGGCGTGGATTTTTTAAATTAATTTTTTGAGGGACTTTCAGAGCTACAGGCGTGGATTTTTTAAATTAATTTTTTGAGGGACTTTCAGAGCTACAGGCGTGGATTTTTTAAATTATTTTTTTGAGGGACTTTCAGAGCTACAGGCGTGGATTTTTTAAATAATTTTTTTAAGGTGCTTTCAGAGTTACAAGCGTGGATTTTTTAAATAATTTTTTGAGGGATATTCAGAGCTACAGGCGTGGATTTTTTATATTAATTTTTTGAGGGACATTCAGAGCTACAGGCGTGGATTTTTTAAATAAATTTTTTGAGGGATATTCAGAGCTACAGGCGTGGATTTTTTAAATTATTTTATTGAGGGACATTCAGAGTTACAAGCGTGGATTTTTAAAATTAATTTTTTGAGGGACTTTCAGAGCTACGGGCGTGGATTTTTAAAATTAATTTTTTGAGGGACTTTCAGAGCTACAGGCGTGGATTTTTAAAATTAATTTTTTGAGGGACTTTCAGAGCCACAAGCGTGGATTTTTTAAATAATTTTTTTAAGGGGCTTTCAGAGTTACAAGCGTGGATTTTTTAAATAATTTTTTTAAGGGGCTTTCAGAGTTACAAGCGAGGATTTTTTAAATAATTTTTTGAGGGATATTCAGAGCTACAGGCGTGGATTTTTTATATTAATTTTTTGAGGGACATTCAGAGCTACAGGCGTGGATTTTTAAAATTAATTTTTTGAGGGACTTTCAGAGCTACAGGCGTGGATTTTTTTAAATTATTTTTTGAGGGACATTCAGAGCTACAGGTGTGGATTTTTAAATTAATTTTTTGATGGACTTTCCGAGCTAAAGGGGTGGATTTTTAAAATTAATTTTTTGGGAGTCTATCTAAGCTTCAGGCGTGGATTTTTATAAATTTTTTTTTTGGGAGTCTATCTAAACTTCAGGCGCGGATTTTTTTAAGTAATTTTTTGGGAGTCTATCTAATCTTCAGACGTGGATTTTTAAAATTAACTTTTTTGGGAGTCTATCAAAGCTTCAGGCGTGGATTTTTAAAATTATTTTTTAGGAGTCTATCTAAACCTTCAGGCGTGGATTTTTAAAATTATTTTTTAGGAGTCTATGTAAACCTTCAGGCGTGGATTTTTAAAATTATTTTTTAGGAGAGTATCTAAACCTTCAGGCGTGGATTTTTAAAATTATTTTTAAAAAGTATTCAAGCGTGGATTTTTAAAATTATTTTTTAGGAGTCTATGTAAACCTTCAGGCGTGGGTTTTTAAAATTATTTTTAGGAGTCTATCTAAACCTTCAGGCGTGGATTTTTAAAATTATTTTTAGGAGTCTATCTAAACCTTCAGGCGTGGATTTTTAAAATTATTTTTAGGAGTCTATATAAACCTTCAGGCGTGGATTTTTAAAATTATGTTTTTAGGAGTCTATCTAACATTCAGGCGTGGATTTGAAAATTATGTTTTTAGGAGTCTATCTAATATTCAGGCGTGGATTTTTAAAATTATTATTATTATTATTTTGAGTCTATCTAACCTTCAGGTGTGGATTTTTAAAATTATTATTATTATTTTTTTTTTTTTTTTGGAGTCTATCTAAGCTTCAGGCCTGGATTTTTAAAAATAATTTTTGAGGGACTTTCAAAGCTGCAGGGACTATTGGAGCTACTGGCCTGGAATTTTAATTTTTTTTCAGGTAGTACAGGCCTGGATTACTTTTTTTCAGGGGCTATTGAAACTATATGTCTGGATTTTGTATTTTTTAATGATTTTTTCAGGGACTATTGGAGATACGTGCCTCGGTTTTTTAAATCATTGACTTTTTTGGATTTACAGGCTTGGATTTTTAAATTATTTTTTTCTGGACGTTGTGATTTTTTACTTTTTTTTTTTTTTTTTGAGGGACTACAGGTCTGGATTTTAATTTTTTTCAGGGATATTGGAGTGGATTTTTCAAATAAATTTCTTTAGAGACTTTCAGAGCTGCAGGGGTGGATTTTTAAATTAATTTTTAAAGGGACTTTTGTAGGCACAAAAGTGAATTTTTGAAATTAATTCTAATGGGGATAATCTGGCTAAAGGTTCGGATTTTTGAACTCTTTTTTGTGGTACCATCTAAGCTACAGACTTGGGTATTTTTTATTATTACTTCTATGGACTATTGGGCTACATGTCAGAGGTTTTGTTCTACTTACCAAACTGGCGGCAAATGTTGCCGATACCAAACCATAGGCACGTGAACGTTCCTCCACTGTCGTCACATCGGCCACATAGGCGAATACCACGGAAAATGTCACCGCAAATATGCCGCTTATTGAGATCATAGCAAAAAACCACCAGGTATTTATTGTCATCAGAGGTATCGGGGCACAGGTGAAAAATACTGTTATGAGTAGAAAAAATTTACGGCCCCAGATATCTGAGAGAGCACCAATAAGGGGTGCGCTTAGGAATGATAGGATGCCTTTGATGCCCATGACTAGACCATTCATGAGGAATGTGTGTTCGGGAAAGGTTTGATTTAACACCTAAATAATGGGGATTAGAAAAACGGGAATTATTAATTAATAAAGAAAACCAATGAGGGGATGGGGGAACTTACCGATATAACAGGCATTGTTAATAGGCCCCAGGCAAAAAATTCTAAAAATATCACAACCATGGCATGATGCACACTTGGCGCTCCAATTCCAGAACTCTGTAAAATAAAAAATGAAAAGAAACAGGAAATTAAAATCAATTGTGAAAATTGTGATTTTTTACAAATCAAATTTCTTTTATATTTTGAATTTAATTTTGTTTTTTAATATTGTGGAAAACTACCATTATTTTGTCCTTTTTGTTTGTGTGTGTGTGAGTGCGGACGAGTGTTCAAATGAGATTTCTATGAAGTAATCACTGCTTTTTGTAATGTTTTCATCTCGCTAATGCAACATGATCTGACAGCCTGCCTGCTTGCCTGACACAGAGCAGCTCTTGGCATTCACTCTTTCATCAGTCATTTGTTCACTTCATTTGCTGGCCGGCCACCAGGCCAGTCATTCTGTCAGTCAATGTTTATTTAAAATTACAGTTTAGAAAAAAAGCTTTAGTTCTATTTATTTATTTGTTCGGCGTTGATATTTAATATGTTACGAACCAAACAAAGCAGTAGCGAGAAATGACTGTCGGCCGTCCGGACTGCCAGCCTGCCTGACCGTTGCTTTTTAAACAACAACAACTACGACAATGCATTGTGTTAGGGATGCCAAAGCGAAAGTGTGGTTTAAGGGATGCCAAGAATCGTGGATTTATTAAGGGATTTTTTTTTGGCGAGAGTATTTGAGGCTACTGAAGTTACAAGGCTGGATTTTAAATATTTTAAGGATCGTGATTTTTTTTTTTAATTTTTTTTCAGGGAGTTTTGGAGATACAGTGGCCATTGGAGCTACAGGCGTAGCTCCAGGGACTGCAGGCCAAATTTTTTTAAATTATTTTTTGGGGCTACAGGCTTGGATTTTAAAATGATTTTTTCCGGGACTATTGGAGCTACAAGCTTGCGAGGCCATCTGAGCTACAGGCTTGGATTTTTTTAAAATACCATCGGAGCCAAATCGGTGGATTCTTTGAATTATTGAATTTTCAAATTATTAGGGTCGATTTAAGAATTTATAGAAGCGGAATTTTTTGCAGACTATCTGAGCATCTGCTAATATGTGCCGCGAGTACACCCATAAGAACTATAAAAATATGGGTTGAGGCGTTGGATTAGTTCTCCACACTCTGAAAACCACTCCTACTATGAAAAAGCAAAGAAAAAGAACATCAAACCCCCTAATGTTGACGACCACCGCAAACATATAAAGGTCACGATCTGCGAATCTGCACTTGGAATGTGTGCACGTTGTACAGAACAGGCGCAGTTCTCGCTTTGGCGGATGTACTCAAGAAGTACAAAGCCGATGTTATTGCCTTAATGGAAATGCGATGGAAAGGGACAGACGTAAGTAAATCAGGCGATTACGCCCTGTACTATAGCTGCCATGAAACGAGACATGAATTTGGCTGCGAATTTATGGTTAGCAGGAGAATAAAAGACCTCGTCTCCAGATTCACTCAAGTAGATGAGCGAATTGCTATAATCCGCATAAAGGCGAAGTTCTTCTACATCAGTCTAATTTGCGCCTATGCTCCGACAAAGATGAACAAACCAAAGAATATTTTATGAGCGCCTAGAAACAGCATATGATCGCTACCCTGGCCATGACATTAAAATTCTGCTAGGAGATTTTAATGCAAAAATCGGAAGGGAAAATATCTTTGGCCCCACCGTCGGAAAATTCAGCCTTCATGAAGAAACATCCGACAACGACATGAGGTTGATTGACTTCGCGGCAGCAAAAAACATGGTAGTTAGCAGCACCAGATTCAAGCATATCGATATACACAAGGCCACCTGGATCTCTCCTGATCAAGCAACGAGAAATCAAATCAAAAAACGTGAGCTTGAGTAAAACACCAAACCGACATTTTTGGTGCAGGCACATCCTTCTGTAGAGATGAAGAAGGAAACCTGGTGACAGATACAGACAGCATGTTGAGCATTTTGAAAAGGTCCTGGTATCAATTAGTGGCGTTGAAGAAGATACCCCAGAACCAATAAGAGATGATGGTATAGAGTGTATACCACTTAGCCAAGATGAGGTCATAAAAGGTCATCGGTTCAAGAACAAAAAAGCAGCAGGTGCCGATGGATTACCAGCCGAACTATTCAAGACTGATGGTCAGGAGCATGCACCAGCTGATTAGTACAATTTGGCTAAAGGAATGCATGCCAAATGGAAACTTAGCATCCTGTGTCTCGTGCCCAAAAAAGGAGACAATACGATATGTGCCAACTATAGAGGAATAAGTCTCCTTCCCATCGCATATAAAGTGCAATCCAATGTGCTGTGTGAACGATTGAAGCCAATGGTCAATGACATCATTGGACCATACCAATGCGGCTTCAGACCTGGCAAATCCACCATTGACCTGATTTTCACTATGCGCCAAATACCACCTATTTGTCGACTATAAAGCCGCATTCGACAGCCCTATCCGTTCATAGGTGTTTAAAGCAATGTCTACGTTCGGCATTCCTGCAAAAGTAATACGACTATGCAGGATAGCTTTAAGTTGCACAAGGTCAGCAGTTAAAATCGGAAAGGACCTATCGGAATGACATCAGTTTTGAAATTCGGAGAAGGATTGTAATGGCCAACAGATGCTACTATGGTCTAAGTAAGCAGTTTAGAAACAACTCCACCTCCCGCCAGACCAAACTCACACTTTACAAGACGTTGATACTACCCGTGCTATTATATGGATCTGAAGCATGGGTACTTGCGCAATCAGATGAGGCAGCTCTTTGGGTATTTGAAAGAAAAATTCTCCGAAAGATCTACGGGCCGATCTGCGTCGAAGGTGAATATCGGCGTCGAATGAACCATGAGTTGTACCAGCTATTCTCGGACATCGACATTGTTAGACGTATTGAGCTGCAGCGACTACGGTGGCTAGGTCATGTTGTGCGAATGAATGAGAATACCCCTGCTCAAAAGGCATATAAAAGCTAGCCTACTGATGGTTCCCGTAGAAGGGGAAGGCCACGAATTAGATGGAAAGACCAAGTAGAAAACAACATCTTGGAACGTGATCTTCCAAATTGGTGGATTTGCGCACAAGACCGACGCGCTTGGAAATTTTTTTTTAAGCTCGGCTTATGGAACAACCGTTCTGTAACAAGCCAGCTAAGTAAGTAGGTTTATTTATTTTTTTGGTGTATGATCACCTGAGCTACAGGTGTAAAATTTTTTTTAATATTTTCTTTCCAAGGCCTATTAGAGCTAGAGGTGTGGATTATTTAAAGAATATTTGGAATATCTAATATTTTTCTTTGTCTAAAGATGCCCGAATGAGATAAAACATAGACATGTTAATTAGATAATAAATAGATAAAATTCCATATCTTTAGTTGTTTGATAAAAAAAACACAGGTAGCTAAATGCATGATTTAACATGTCATGGTCGCGATAGAAAAAAAACACAATTTGTTAGTCTGATAATAAACTTTTTTTATGTCTGATATCAAAAGGAAAATGTTATCAAAAGTCATTCACCTTTTTATTTGCTTAAGAATTCAAACGGAGAAGTAGAATCTTCCATGGAGAGCATTTAAAAAATATTCTGTAAAAATCCTCGACTCGGTTAGACGTTTAAAAAAATATTCCCTAAAAAATCCACGCTTCTGTAGGATGTTTAAAAATATATGTGGTTGAAAAATGTTCTTAAAAAATTCACTCTTTTAATATTCTTTGAAAAAAGCATTCACTGAAAAGAATTAAAAATCCACACCTGCAGCTTTAATGGTTCCTTGAAAAATAAATTAAAATGATTCAGTTTTAATGCCTACATGGCCTCTCTAAAAATTTATTTAAAAAATTCACTCCATCAACTTAGATGATCCCTCCAAAATTTTTTTTTTAAAAATCGGTGGACTTTCATTTCTTTTTTTCAAGAAATCAAATTAAAGTTCTCTTTATCGCCTCCTACCTCCTCCAACAGTTTAGTTTATTATTACAATCAAAGAGTAATCTATTCTCTTTGTTAATCTATCTGATGAGAGTAGTGTTGGCAAAACATATGATCATCAGAATGTCTTGCCCCAACCATCATGCACCATTTCGTCATTGTCATAATTTGCTGATCTTGTTGTTGTTGCGGTGGGTTTTTTGTTTGTTTATTATTCTAAATATAGAACAAACCGATTTTATGAAGAAATATTATTTATTATTATTATTACTGTACAGCAAATAACAACAACAGCAATATTCAAGAGAGACCCAAGGGAATTATTAGCAGCAGCATCATCATCATCCAAAAAAATGTTGTTGTTGTTGCTGTGTGTACGGGAATTGACTATGTGAACAAGTGTTGTAGGTGAGTGCTTATGTGTGTGTGTGTGTGTGATTATCAGACCACTGCAATAATATCACAAACCGTTTTGAACTTGTATGTGAATAAATAATTTAAATTATTTTTTGTCGGCATTTTTTTGTTCGGTAGTTATGCTGTAGTAGACAATTTTTTTCGTTGGTATAAAAAATAAAATAAATAAAAGGTCATCAGTTGTGTTTTTTGTTGTTGTTGCTGTAGTTTTTTATTATTATTACTGTTACTGTGGGGGCCATTCGAGCTTTGTGTATTTTGTACTATTTTTAGAAAAAATGTTTCTAGATTTTTTTGGGTTTTCAATTAGAATTGGGGGTTTTGCTATCAGAGGCGTATTTTTCCCCAAGCACCATCAGAGGTGTGGATTTTCAAAGAGTATTTTTTAGAGGCCTGGCTTTTTAAAGAATATTTTTTCCAAAGAATATGTTCAACTTGTTTTTTTAATGAATATCAGAATCGTGGATTTTTTGTATAGAATATATTTTCAATAAATTTCGGAGGTGTTGAGTTTTAAAAGGATTTTTTCAACAACTATCAGTGGCATGGATATTCAAATTATTTTTTTAATCACTAAGAAATAGTATTTCTTTATGAATATTTTTTTCAACCACTATTTTAAAGAAAGTCTTTTGCAAACACCCCATCAGAGGCGTAGATTTGTTAAATAATATTTTTCAAACCACCATCAGAGGCGTGGATTTTTTAAATAATATTTTTCAAACCACC